CAGGTATCGCGCTCGCGCAGGTCATGGCGCCGAAGCTATGCCGACGTGGGCAGACTTCTACGACGAGTACCGACAAGAGCTGCCTACGCCATCACCAGCAGCCCCTTTCCACCTCACCGACGACCAACTCATCCACTTCATACGCACCCGTTCACCGCGCCGCGCGGGGGGACTCGACGGCTGGACAACTAAGGAGGCTAAGGAGTTACCCGACGACATCCTTCGCCTCTTCTCCAGCGTCTTACGTGCTATGCAACGCACTGGCACCATCCCCGAGCCCCTCCTACACGTGCCAAACCCGCGCCTCCGAAAAGGCCGAGGGGAACTCCCGACGGACCAACGACTTCTCTCGGTTCTTTCCGTTTGGATGTACGCGTGGGAAGCGCCAGCCTACCGTAGCCTCACGACCTGGCGGCAAGGATGGACCCATGCCACGAGCTTCGGCGCTGTTCCCAAAGCCACCATTGGTGATGTCAGCACCTCTCTCGCCCTGCGCATCGAACACGCCAGGGCTTTACTCCTCCCCTTAGCTGGAGCTGCCCTTGACCGACAGAAGTGTTTCGACTACCTCATCACGGACATCTGCCTTAACCTTGCGCTGCACGCGGGGTGCCCTCAAGACATCGTTACTGTCCGCCGAAATTTCTACAGACACCACAAACGCTACATCCGCATGAACGGAGCGTACTCTAAGGACTTGGCCAGGACTAACGGTCACCTCCAGGGAAGCTCGTGGTCCCTGGACGACATCAAGCTGCTCACGTGCGTGTGGACAAAGAGGCAGCATCGGTACGTTCCTCGATCACTCAGCACTACCTTTGTTGACGACAGCAACTCCACTACCCACACCGCGTCTGAGCTGCAGAAATCTCTTGACGAAACCGCCAAGTTTGATCGATTCTCAGGTCTACGCATTCACCCTGGTAAAGTGGCAGGGTGGGCGCTCACCGACGAGCTTCACGCCGCCGTTACCCAGCTCACACTGGCGGAGCGCCCCCTTCGTGTGGTCGATTCCTTCAAGCTCGTCGGGAGTTACATCAACGCAGAGGCAGCGCCGGCTCCAGCCGCGCTTAACCTCACGGCCACCGCAGACGCCCGTGTACGGAGGGCGACTATTCGCCTGCCGCGCATTGGCAAGCTCCCGTCGCCGATGCTTATCAAGGCGCGGCACGCCCGATCCCTAGCCGCCAGCGTCTGCACCACGGGCACCGACATCCAAGCACCATCAGGCCCAGCCAAGACTGCCTACAACCACGCCCTCAAGGCGGCTATCCGCCCCAAGGGAAACAAGTGGGTCGAGTTCTGGACTCTCATGGCCGTGTGCGTGCCGGGACACGCCCTTGAGATCGACGCCATCACGCAGCGTGAAGCATTCCTGTGCCTGCGGCGACAGTTTAACCGCGACGTTACACTCTGCGGGCTCGCCAGAGACCTCCAACACCACGTCCAGACCCTGTTTGGTGGAGGACCCGTCGGGCGACTCGTCCAGTCGCTCCAGCAGCTCCGATGGACCTGGCCCACATTTGGCATCATGTACGACGACTGGGGCTGCCAGATCAGCTGGCTGAATTTACCCCAAAACGCCTTCCTACACATGCTGCGGGCCTCACAACGCAGGGCGCTTCTGCGGAGGATCAAGCCACGGCGACACGACCTTGGCTACCTAGCCTCTGTCAGACAGGGCCTCGACCTCTTCGCCAGCACGTGGCTCGCCAGAACTAAAGGAGCAGCCAAATGCACTGCCTGGCAGCTGGCGCTCCTCCTGAACTACCTGTCGGGCGGGGATCACACCCAACAGCGACGATCCCGATCAAACACGTCGGCAGACCCCAGCCCCATCTGCCGCTACTGCGACGAGGAAGAGGAAACTCAGGAACACACTGTCCGCGACTGCAAGTGCTGGGCCCGAGAAAGACTCCCTCTCACCACCCTCATCAGTGACGACCAGTGGGCCCGTCTTCCGCCGCACACAAGACACTGCGGGCTCTTCGACGAAGACCCAGTCCTCCTCGACCTGCAGGCCGACCTCGCGAGGGACTCGTTGCCACAGCCCATGCCGCGGCCCCCCCCTGAGGGAGATCCTGCGGCTTCAGCCCAGGACACCTACACCACCTACCTTGACCATGACACTGGTTGGACATGGGTCTACGCTGCCACGGACGGTGCATGCACCAACCAAGCCATCCCATTGCTAGCACGAGCGGGCTACGGCGACTACTACGGCATCGACCACCGCATGAACTACAGTGCACGCGTTCACGGCCTAACGCAGAACGCCCAGGTTGCGGAGACCCTCGCCATTGTCCACCTTAAGGCATGTGCCGAACGGCCCGTGCACGTTTTTCGTGGACAACCAGGCGGTGGTCGATGGGTTCCAAAGCATCATCGACGGACATCCAGCGCCGCAGGGCACGCACGCGGAGCTCTGGGAAAAGATCCACCGATGTGTTATGGCCAAGCCCAACATGTTTCGCGTCGAAAAAATCGCCAGCCACCTGGGAGACCTGGCATCGACCTTGGGCTCATCGGGCCCATTGCGGAGGAGTTCAACCGTCAGGCCGACGCCCTTGCCACAACGGCGGCACGCACTCACAACCTTCCCGACGACATTGTTGAAGCTGCCAAAACACGACATCGCCAAGCGACCGTGCTCCATGGGGTCGCTGTCGCTATCTACGAGCGCAGACACCGTACTCTGCCGCTCCCACACCGCAGGGCTGGGTTTACAGCTGCGGAACTCAGCAAAATGGAACCAACCCCCCTGCTGTCGGACCAGGCACCACCCGCGGCAGGACCATTCATCCCGCAAGACCCGGATGAGCTCTGGGCCGAGGCCCAGCGGGCGATGCTCGATGAACAGGAGGACGACCCGTTCGGCTTCGGCGGGGGATTGGACTTCTTGGACGACGGCCCAGCCAGCGCAAACCCTGCCCCGTCGGGCAACCTCTCGACGCCCACCGCGAATCCGCCACCGAGAGCGACATCGTACCCACATGATGATGTCGCTCACCGTCAAGACGCCGACGATGACCTGGTTGACCCCCTCGGACTGAGTGGCAGCATAGACGACGCTCCGCCGACACCCCACGCTACCGACGATGCCGCCCTATCGAGACGCCACCCGACTACGCGGCCGACCTCCGAGCCCTCGCATGGCATCATGATTGGTCCTACCGTGCCACCCACTCCGCCCCCCCACCAGCGCCAGCCCGCGGGGGCGGCTCCAGCCCCCCCGCAGGGCACCGAGCCAGTCAGACCGACGCACCCCGTCCACGCTTCCACTGTTGCTGGGCGCGAGGATGCGGCTCTTCCGACCTCACGGGGCGTGGCCCTAGCGGCTCCAGCCCTGGGGCCGCGTGGTACCCTCCAGTCGCCTCCCAAGGGTGACGGCCGTCAGCACACGGAGCGCCGTACTGCGCTAGTCCACCACCTGGCCAGGCGCACCGATGACCTCGTCCCTGCCACGAGGCCCGCGGCCGCTGGCACTGAGCAGCCGCCCCTCACCGACCGCGAAACCGAGCTGACCCAGGCTATGGCCGCTCTTCAGCAGAGGTGTGCTGCTCTCGCCGCGGACCTCGCCGCTGCTCAAGCCCGTCAAGGCCCTCTGCTCCAGCGCCTCCACAGCGCCGGGCGTGCCTTCGCCGAGCTGCTTATGCCCTCGCCCGATGGTGCTGCGCCGTCACTCACCATCCAAGCTATGCTGTCATCGCTCCGCGGCGCTCCACCTGGTGCCCCGCGCTAATTTCCTCCTTTCTGCCTGCCCGTGTGTACGCGTGGCTCCGCGTCCACGGTGTCAGGGCGTGGGGGCGGGGGGTGCCCCGTCCCTGCGCGCCGCTTTGCGGCCAAGCGCCCAACTGGCGGTCTGCCAAGCCGCCTAGCCACGTGTCAGCACGTCGCCTTCCTTGTTGGGGCCTCTTTCTTCACGCGGTCTGACACGTGAGATCGTCACCGTCTGTCCGCCGTCTGTAGCGTCTGTCGCATTGCGCCGGGGGAGGGGGTTTTGTTGCCCGCCCTCGTATCTTAAGGCTGCACCGCCGCAAATAGTGTTTGGCGAGTTGTCGCACCGCAGTGCGCCTCGCGGACGGACCCTGGTCCGCCTACATGTCCGATCTCTCTCTCTCTCTCTCTCTCTCTC